CAGATGAAAAAAATGTCATGTCCTTACATGTGCCGAATTCGTCTTGAAATCCTCTAACAGACAGGCGTAAAAAAATTATATGTTCAGTTGCAAAAAATTCAAGGTAACCATGAAAAAACACTAAAAAAAAGAGTTGATCAGTAATCTTTCACTATCACGTTAAAGCTCTCTTGAAACCATGCAAAAGCTGATAAAAACATTTTCGATCGGACTGCTAATAACAAAGTAATCTCAACTGATCACGATTCGTGATTCACCCTGTATACAGGGTGAATCCACTAGAAGCGGAACATCCAAATAATGGACTTTGATCGCGAATATTAAAGTCGTTCAAAATATATTTTGAACATTTTTTTTGCGGATCTTCACGAGTAACAGACACTTAGTATTATGTATCAGGTATTATACATAGTATACATTTCTCCGAATCCTTTGATAAGGATGAAGAATCTCATTGGTAATGGCTGCCGACGTGATAATTTACGTCTGAGTGAATCGTTGATACGGTGGGATTTTTCGGAAGAGAGTAGAAACTTGGTAGACCTTAACGACGAGTATTGATCGTATGGCGTTTGAAACGTCACGTACATGCGGACTGCCGTTTTCGCGGATGAAAGAGCGCGAAATTTGATTTGTGTCCTCGCGTTACATCGGCTGAATTCATGTAGAAGGAGAAATCGGTGAACGGGATGCTACCAAAGAGGTTAGTTTTTCTATCTTGCAGTTCCTATCGAATGACAATTAAAAGTAACGTCTCACTGTAACGGCACCATTCGGAGCATTGAGTTCAATTTTAATTCCGTGATAAGTTGCCGCACGGCCGAGTGCCAAAGCCATACCGAACGTTCTGGACGGAATGTAGGAGTTGAGGTGAAGGTATGCGAGAAGAAAAGAAGTAATACGACCATGGCGATAGGGATAGGAGTAGAAGTGGCTAGAGCGTAAGGGAATGAGAAAGATGAGAAGAAGGTGCAATGGCGACGAGAGGAATGAGAAGTGTCTGACGATTGTCAGGAACGTAGCGTTTCGAGTTCTTATAAGAGTTCGAACTCCAACAGGGTTGGGAGACGCGTTTGCGTTCAACTCCGGATAGCGGAAACGTGCTCGGCGTACCAACATGCAAATGAAAAATGTTTCTAAGAGTCTCTTCTTTCATCCCCCGTCATCCTCTGGTACATATACCCCGCACAGAGAAGACTTTCACCCTATTCCGAAAGAAGTTTCCGTCGCCCAAGCCTTTTTCTCCATTCGTCCCTCCCATCAGGAAGAGATAAAACAGATAAGTAGGAAGTTGCATGATTATCTGACGAACTGCCTCGAAATGGTTTCCGCGTTATCAAACTTCTTTTTTTTTTATTCGTCTTATCCAACCGTATCGAAGGAGAGTCCGTGCACCCTACTTTCCAATTTTTCTCGTATTTTCTCGTTCCTTTGTCTCCTATGTTTTCTCCCTGTTTGCATAATACATCTGTCGGCCAATCTTTCCCAGTGTAATCCTCCCAGCATCTTCCTCGATCCTGTATCATTTCGTGTAATACAGTCCCTTTCAAGGGTCTTCCTTTGACGATCACCTAACTTGTTTTATATATTTGACGAGTACCTTGCCCTTCTTAAATGGGAGTGATTTATTATGTAACGGGTGGCACATGACATTATAAGCACCCTGACAGTCGCTGATTGCATATCTACAGAGCTTCGACAGGATGGCTTTGGTCACTGATTACTTTGAGACTTACTTGAATCTTCCAATTGAGGGGTGAATTATTGCCAGGAAGTCAGATCTAATTCCGTACGCAAATCATGTCAAATTACTACTAACAATGTATATCTTGCTAGATAAATTTTTTTTTTTTCGAATTTCTCTAACTTAACCAACGTACCTGTATAACTTAGTAAAAAATTTTTTTTAATCTCGACCCTTTGCACTTTTACTCGTTTCACCAAGTTTCCATTGTTTCACACTGATTTTTTTCATTTCACCAAATCCCGTCACCTTAGCTTGCTCCAGATAAGGATTTTTTCTCCTCCCTAACCAGAAATCTTTATACCGGGCGAACTTTTATCCTCGAGGAAGCTTTCTCTCTCAGGTCGACCCGGGGGCCGTTTACTTCGCTTTCAGATGCCACCTCGAGATACACGCTGAAAGAAAGTATTATTACCGCGAGAAGAGGGCGACCAAGTGTAAAGTACACTTATAGTCCCGTGCTGAGGACTTGGAAGCCGCAAGGTAAATCGGCAAAGTTGCACGAAGACTCAACTTTGAGAAGTTAAAAATAAGACAAGACGCGTTACAGCAACCCCTTCGATAACACTGGTATACTTGTATATACCTATACTATCTTACCCGTAACGGCTGCCATACCCCAAGTGTTCTTTTCTGGCGGCGACATCGGCCGATGCAAAGCGCCATCTGCAGGGAAATGTCGAAAAAGATTCTTCTTATCGCAAACCGCCCTTCCCGACGGTTACCTTCATCTGGAACCAGGGGAAGGAGGCTTGAGTGAAGCACCGAAAAAATATTTCACCACCCTTACCGCTACCCCGTACTATTATACCTATATGCACAAGTAAATAGAAAACATTCCACGCTATAGTACATTCACGTTACTATATCTATCTCTGGTCATCCGCTATAATATCTGACGGCAAGCAGCACTTAATATTCATTATACCGCATACTTTTGAGTCGGTCCGATTGGCAAGGGAATTGCCATTTTACTGAAAACTCGGGAGACCGTAAAATCGAATAATGCGCTACGTTCCGGTACAAGGGAAGAGGGAGAAAGTTTTTCGGGACCGTTCAATACTATTATCGAGATCCATAGTCGTATAGTGATAAGAGTGTATTTTTTTTTGGACTTTTATTTCTTTTATAGACTCATATTAATATATATGTCAAAACGTCATACCGATCATAGCATATACCTATAGATATTAAATTTCATCGGCACGAGCTTTAAAGCTCGCGAATATTAATTTATTGGTAAATCTTTAATAAATTCATTAGAGGTATTCCGAGGCAGGTATGCAGTAGTACCTACGGTCTTAATGGAAGGGTATTCTTACAACGCTGGAGTCTTGAAGAACTTTGTAATTATAAAAGTTTTCAGATAGGTTGGTATTCTTCTTTAGCTTTATGCGAAATTTTCCACGGAAATTCGCAATAGCATCGTCTTTCGAATCGACCTCTCTGCATTGCGAATAACGCTTTATGCACTTTAAGGATTATTTACTTAAGGTGCTTATTGAGTCTTTACGGCTATAACGTAAATTATTCACCTGGATTGTCTTGGCTGCTATAACCTACTTTACAATGTCTTCGTTTAATCCCAATGTAGTAACCATTAATACTTGATTTCGATTTCCATGGCCACTTTCAATTGTTTAAATCGAGCTCGGCCAGGTAATTTTGACAAAGCTTAATAAATATGTTACGTTTATGTATTATGGTCATTATCGAAAGTGACGTAAAATTGAAAAATGGCAAGTGACGGACTTTAATCGGAGACTCGTAATTCAATGTTCATATTAAAAATGTGATTCTCGAAAAGTCATTAATCAGCAACGCTTTCCATAATTCTGATATTTTTCGCGTAGCTTTATCAATACTGCTTGGCGGTACGGTTACCCTTTTTTTTTTTTGGGCGATGCAAAGCCACGAATCTCTTCACCAATAAAGAAACTCCGTGATTAGTACTTAATTACGCGCGTAATTAATCATAAAATCGACTTTTCTTTTTCATGGATTATATAGCCAATTTTTTTTTACCCATTTTAATAGCTCACGCACCGGAAAGGAATTTGCGAATTTCACTGCTTGTCGCTGCGATCGATCCGCCATACGCTGTCGCGTCTATATTCAGCGAGATGGACCAGACAAATAGAAAGAGAGCGAAGAGACTAAAATGCTATCCAGGATTTTGAGTGATTGGCGAGAACGTACCAAATGCTTTAATGGAAATTCGCGAAACTGATGGGAATTGCGAACTTTCGCGCAGCTAGGTGACGGAATAAATTTTGTCCGTTCCGTTTAAGTGGGTCGCTCTTAGCGGTGGTAAAAATTTTTGGAAAAAAAAAAGAAAAAGTGTAAAAAAGAAAGGGACGAGATGAAATGTTAATTAAAACGTCCTGCCGTCATCTGCGAGGCTCGATGTCGCGTACAGGAATCGATGTCAATTTCATTCCAGATCGATTAATCGTTTCATCCATCCTTTCCAGCTGGATGGCTCTTGCGAAAAGGTGCATCCACACGTTGCACACTAGTTTTACATAAAGCGGCATTTAATATACCAGTCACTAAGAATTCAGTTTGATTTCAATCGGTGATTAATAAAAATCTTATCAGTCATTGGTATCGTCCCTCGAACTACCCTTGAACTCATATTCGTATCACTTAATAATTTTCAGTATAGACGTAAGATTAATGGTAAAATAAATTTTCGTTAAACAGCTGGGTTTGCATTTATAAAGATCCAGAATGGTATGAAAAATTAATAACAAGAAAATGTGAAAGATATCTATAAATATGAATTATCAATTCAATTTAATATAGTATATACACTATATTTCTTTTAATCACAGATTTTGGTAAGTTTCACTTGAGCCCTAAAAAAATCTCTTAGCAATTTTCGATGCCCGGTAGTCAATCCTGACTTTCCGTGTTCGGAGAATCAAGTGCTTCCAGCTATCTTCGTCCCCGTAGGGGATATTGGGTATTATCGATTATTCTTCAGGAACGTCACTCTCACGGTTTCCCAAAGGAGAACCTCGCGAACCCGCCGAGTCTTCGTTTAACGACTTTGCTGACACAAGTTTCCCTTATAATAGGTCCCGTAATTAGGGACCCTTATGAATTACCTGACGTCCCACGTCAATATTATCGTATCCCTTAAACGGGACTTTACCGATTTTTTATTTTTATCACTTATTCGTGGAAAAGCAATTTCTCAGCCGGCACTTTGCGAAATTCTCCCTTTGCCATTGGAGCGCAATATTCATCGCGGGAAGTATTTTTCAGGGTACATACAAGGATCAAGGGAGCAGTAAGATGCTGATGCTGACCCTGTAAAATTTTTCAGAAAACATAATAAAAAAATAGCATGTATAACGCGAGTCCTTTTCGTCAAACGGATTTCTTTGCTGTGTTTTGTACATCCGATTGCTTTTTGAAAAATCCCATAAATGTTTCCTTTGATTTAAAGGGAAAGGAAAAGTAACGCACCTTTAAAGAGAATACAATTGGCGCGAGAGAGAGGGAGGGAGCGATTGACAAGCGAAAAATACTTGTATGATAAATGGGAAAAGATTCGCATCACGGAGGCTGCGAAGCCACGATTCTATTGGAACTTTGTTCACGTTCTTGGCATACGTGCCGCAAAAGAGTTTCTTGTATTGCGCAATATTTCCATAAAATTCAAGTGGCTCTTGGTAAGACGCGACGAGGGGGGGGCGGTATGGGAGAGTAAGAAGAGAAAGGCACGATTTCGCGAAACTTTTTAGCTCGACTTTACGAACCGGCGAGTTATGAATTTTCCATAAGTGGTAATAAGTTCGTGAACGTCGAAAGACTCGGAGATTTTTTTTTTGTCTTATCGACTCAAAATATAATCGATACGATAACAAAGTGACATCAATTGATTTCTATACGGTATAAATTTTCCCGGTACGTAAATATTTATCGGTACGAGCCCTTAGGTATTCTTAAGATTAAAGTATGCTGGGATTTCGTGTTTATTTTTCTTGCAAAAATCATGCCTATGGGATTTGGCGAAACCGAGGAAAATCCGAGGAGACAATATTTTTAGTAATATTCGGCAAAAAGTACTTGACGATTCTTCGTATCTCGTTACGATAATTGGACCGGGGATTAATTGATTTCGGGGAGACTCGACTAGGCGTGATTTTACTTCGTATATTAATCAGTTAATTTACGTAGGCAATTCGCAACGGTATTACACTGTAGGTTCTACTTCATATATACTCTATAGAATGTGATAGGGGAGAGTAGGTATATATGTACCTCGTAATTGAAAAATAATGAGGCGCCCTGTTGCAATTAGTAGAAACATCGGTGGCGCAGGGTTAGGTTGGGCACGTTATGACCTATATATTTCTACTCTGAGAAATTATGCAATCTTCCTCGCATCTCGGTGTATAATTAAAAATATAATTGTGGATCTGGTCCAGCCTCGTCTGAAAGCATGATCGACCCTGGTTGCGCTCCTGGGTTTGAACGCTTTTCTCAAAACAGCCCCCCGCCCTTAATAACCGTAATTCCACTTAGCCGCGTGTGTATTATTGCCACGTAGGGAGGATCCGCACCCCCTGGACCTTTATTAAAGGTTTAGACCTTTTAAAATTGCGAAGCATACCTCAGCCGGAGGACTTCAAAAGGTTAGGAAATCGAAGAGTGAATTAGAAGGTTAAAGGGCAAATGAAATCAGCCTTAAGTTTTATTCGTTATCGTTAAATATTTAGGGTGGCATAGAATTTTCTGTACCTTACGCGTATACAGCAGGGTCAATAAGACTCCGCCGTCTTGGAATCGTAATCAGGAGATATCCATGAATTTGACGTAGCTGTGGCTCTTGGGGATTTGATGATTGAATTTTGATAAGAGACGCGGCCCTCTAATCAAAATCTTGTAGGATTTGACACGTTTATCACGTAGGGTGAATTTCATTATTTTTTCATTCGATAAAATTTCCACGTACAACGTGTCTGCTTTCTGATTAAAGTTTCCCGAGTGCATCGGGCCGAGAACTATACGAAAGAAGAAATTGCATTGTCCTACAAGCGTGCTAGGCGAGACGATCTTATTATGCATTCTTGGCACTTGGATTGAACGTTTGAAAGTTTTGATTAAATTTAATTGATAGCCGGGTAGGTGGTATCGGGCATAAAGGACTTTCGTCGATACACGCAGTTACCTACGGTGCACGAATTATTTTGTAACAACGAGAAAAATATTTAATCAATCATACATAATTTATTTATTCCTGCCGTTAAGCCGTATATCGTGGAAAATTCAACGGCAAAGTTCACGCTCGTCAGATAATATTTAGCGAGTCTGAAAACGTTCGACGCTCATCTATAAACTTGATGAACTCTGTTACGACAGTGCAACCGGAGTATCGGAAAATGATTTCCATTCGAATGATAAAACCGAAGTCTCCCGATTACAGTTTTGGGCTAGGGGAGCCGCGAAAATGTAGCCGTAAAATCGCCAACGTTTCGGGAAACGACGGGATCGCACTGCAGGCCGGTATAAGCGCCGGCTGTGAAAATAAAACGATATCCAATATTATCGAAATTCAGCCTGACCTAACCCAGCCGTTATAATGCACCGGAATACCGAATAATTTTCATTATTTTCAGCCCCCAACGTACATAACGTAATCGCAGCGATGATATTTATATACCAGCAAGTACTTCGACCCTCCACGTGTATCTAGACGTGATTCAGTGACGACAGT